GGAAGAAGATCTAATTGAAAACAACAATATTGTTCGCTTTTATGTTTTGTTCTAATATTCCATAAAAAATGAAATCACAATGGAGACGTAGAATAATAGCTCACTGTCGGCCTCGTCCACTCTCCCTCTCTCTCTCTTGTTTTTTCGTCACTGTCATTGATATTCAAAAAAGCGCTTAATGTCATAATGGTAGAAGGCAATACCATTCAAATCATAAACACACCCACATACACACTCACATTCGATGAATAGTCGAGTGAGTTCACCTGGAAAAACGATAATTCATTCAAAATAGCATAGAAATTCAAAGACTGCCTAACTATCTATCATAAAAGAAATAACTCTAAATTCTTTTATTTCCATTTTGATTACGCAATCAAATGATGATCAGACGAAGAGAGCACGTAGTAAAACAAAAATCTGGTTTGAAATTCGAAGGATAATCTTTTTATTTATTTGTTTATTATTTTGACTTAAACAAGCGGAATTAATTGAACAATTTGTCAGTATATGCGCCATTTCCTGTAGGAAGAAATTAAAAGTAGATTCAATATTAAATGCTTCAGTTAGCGTATTGTTTTAAACAGGATACACGTATTTGTCCTTGAAACAACCAATTACAATTAAGGCAGGAATAATTCAGAACAACATAATGGCCGCAGGAGATTTAGAATTTTACAAACGATATAAAAATAAAGGTAACCAAGAGAAACACAAAAGGTTAGCAGAAGTAACTGGCAGTGAAGATAAGTCTTCCATTGAACATAGTAAAGACAGAGGTGATGAAGCTGTGACCGAATAATTGTTCGGAAAATCCCTCCTGTGAACAATCTAGTTACAATATTCCTGCCCATTTGGATGTCCCATCAACTAACTGTGTAGTTATTTGACGTTTTTTCTCCTAGAATGTAAATCGATATTTTTACATTTGCATGTCATATGTTGATTTGATCGGTGCATCGATGGCACAATGATAGAATGCTTGCCAATCACACACGTGTTTACGAGTTCGATCCCCTGTCACGGACGCTTACCTTTACATCACTAAGTCAGTAAGGAGACAGGTTAAGAGGGAAGGTTGAGCATAATGCTAGTAACCCTATTCCATAAAAATAAATAAACACGACTGTTATTGAAACTTCAAGGCTCTATCTAGCTTGATTACGCAATCAGATGTTGATCAGAGGTAGAGAGCTGGAAAACAAAAATCTGCTTTGAAATTGAATGAATTTTCATCGTTTTACCATTTGGGTTAAATGAATCAGTTTATTTGAACAATTGTTAGTGTATGCCTTCCTTTCTGTATAGCAAAATTAAAAACAAGTTTAGGGTTGAGTCATTATAAATTGCATGGAGGATTTAATCATGAGCTGACATCAGTTAGAGAACCACTGGAAAACCAGCTGGGAGTACTGGACAGCTGTTTTGTCCTAGTTTGGGACTCCTCAGCGGTATGCACCCACCACAACGGTTCGAACCCAGGACCTTCTGGTTACAAGGCGAGCTAGTAGACCATTGAGCCACTGGGACCCGATCCAATGGTTCTTGAATTCTAACTTCTGCCAATTCACGACATAGCGCGACCACTTCGCAATGTCTTCTTCGATGAGTGAGTTACTGCCTCATCTTCGACCTGCTGTACCCTACTGGTCACAGCTTCCCACTAGAACCCCAGGTTAACTGCCTGGATAGGGCCAGTCGCTAGTGAGCATCAGATTAATGTTCAAGTGTTGGTTTTGTAGGGATTTGGTTTGATTGTATGAAGAATTTATTATTAAACTATTTAAAATAATCCCAGTGTGTTTAAGAAAAGCTCATAAACAAGATTTTTCTCACCGTCTCACTGTGTAAGCCATTCTAGTTAATAAAATCCTTTAACCAATCAATCAAAATCTTTACAAACCAATACTTGAATATCATTGAGATTCTCACTAGCGAGGCTTGACTTTATTCAGGTGGGTATTAACCTGGGTTCTATTGGAAAGTCGTGACCAGTAAAGTGGAGCTGGTCGGCTGCGAGGACAAATACTCGCTGAAAACATTGGCTAGTAGTCACGCTATGTCGTATATGAATTGGTAGAAGTTAGAATTCACGGGTCGGCCACTGGATGCGGTACAAGTGGCTGGTGAATAGTCTACAATCTAGCTAATCTTATAACCAGAAGGCCGTGGGTTCGAACTGTGGTGTGTGTGTGTTGCTGATGAGACTCAAACTAGGCTGACAAAACTGCTGTCCAGTATTCCCCCAGATAATTCATTCAAAATAGCATAGAAATTCAAAGACTGCCTAACTATCTATCATAAAAAAATAACTCTAAATTCTTTTATTTCCATTTTGATTACGCAATCAAATGATGATCAGACGAAGAGAGCACGTAGTAAAACAAAAATCTGGTTTGAAATTCGAAGGATAATCTTTTTATTTATTTGTTTATTATTTTGACTTAAACAAGCGGAATTAATTGAACAATTTGTCAGTATATGCGCCATTTCCTGTAGGAAGAAATTAAAAGTAGATTCAATATTAAATGCTTCAGTAGCGTATTGTTTTAAACAGGATACACGTATTTGTCCTTGAAACAACCAATTACAATTAGGGAAGACATCAAGGCAGGTGAAACCTACAAAAGATGTTCAAGAGAATCTAATTATCAAGGAGGAAATGCAAATATAACAATGAATAGGCTGATTATTTAAACGACTCTTGATACAACCATCACTTGTAACTCACCCAGAAATACCACTAACAGCTGGCACCAATAGTCTAACAAAATCAGAAATCTTGAGTACAGCTGCTACATGACAATGTACCATGTCAGATGATCCACAACGAAAAATTCAGTGAAACCTTTTAAGTGAAGACAGGAGTAAAACAAGACTGCTGCCTTCTGTCACTGATGAGAACACAGAAATACACTGAACTCATAAGAAGACTGTGGAAGATATTCACTTCACAAACGATTCATCCCTAATTTCATAAAAACTCGAAGACTTACTTACAGGTGAAAATGAACAAACTGCAAAGGAATCAGGCAGTGAAGGCATGACTTCAAGTAAACAAGGAGGTGATGATGGGGGGTGATGAAAATAAATAAATCAATAACAATAAGGACTAATCAATATGAATGGAATAAATCTGAAGGAAGTCACTTCCCTCACCTATCAAAGCAGCATCGTTCCATCCATAGACGAAGGCACAGATGATGGAAATGTCATAACCAGACCCTGAAAAGCAAGATGGACTTTCCATATTAGTTTGTTTATTAGATGTGTATCACACAGTCAGTGATGAAACAGTATTATTCACTGCATGACGATACCTTTCGAACAAAATTTATTGTTCATAATCATGCCATCAATTATATATCAAATATTCCCATAGTAAAATTTAGAACAACACATTTAAGCGAACAATATTGTTTTTCAATTAGATCTCATCAGACTTAACTCTAATATATATAAGTTTACAAATAAAAATTCAAATATAAACCAATCATGGTGTTTTGTCTATAGGATAATAAGATGGTGCATATAAATTGTGCAATTAGTCGTAATAGTGGTAATGACAATATTAATAATAGTAATAATAATAATAATAATAATGGTCTTATCAATAATAAGGATGAAAAAATGAGGCAATCTGTGATAACACGAATACTGATGAAAAACAGTATGATTAAACAAACAATTGTTCAGGTGGAAGTAGTCGATAAAGGCTAGTAAAAACAAATGAACCGATTACGTAATGACAGTCTAAGACGATATCAGCAGCTGGTTAGAAAATCAATGAGGAAAAGAAAAGCAGAACAGCGAACACTGCTGTCCCAGACACTGAAGTCTGAGACTATTAGTCAGCAGTAACCGAATCATGGTTCTTTGTGGATCTGATTATCAGAATGGACGTCAGTGGAGTAGTGCAACATTGTTAGAGGGAATCAAATTGTTTTAGGAGGCAAAAGGATTGAACAAAGTGATGTTCACTTTTTTTCAAATAGATACTCATCTGTCGGTGGTTCTACTTTAATTTACGCAAATACGACACTTCTATTATAATACACAACAATAATTTACCAGTCAAGTGGCACTGATATGTATTGAAAGTCAATCTGAACGAAGAATATTCATTTCACAATAATTTCTTCTCATCATGTTCTTACAATTATAAAATGTAATATTTGTTGTCAGTACAATCGAGTTAGTTATGTGGTGGAAACATTTTTAACGTAGAATAACAGATTAGTAGTTATCGGGTGTCAAAATAAATTGTCGTATTTGTGTGACAACATATGAAACCATCAGAGAAGAAACCTGTGACACTGACTGCACATAAGAAACCTCTATTTATTAAGTTACAATTTAATGGGCACTTATCTAGTGAGATTCTATTCCAAAGACTTTCAAGGAGTATACGTAGAACATTTTACGCAGCACACCTATGTTTGTCATTCTCTAGCCGACGAATGATTGGGACGCAAACGAAGGATAAGCTTGATAGTTTTGCCACATCTATGTGTATTTATCAATTCAACTGCACCTGCGGTGACAGTTATATTGGGTGTACTACTAGACAGCTTAGCCAACGTGTTAGTGAACATCTCCCATCGTGGTTTGGCAAAGGACAGACAAAAACAATCCGTAGCTCAATTCTGTCACATCTAATTGATAGTGGTCATGTAGTCGATAAAACGAAAGCCTTCAAAGTAATCATCGTATCCCTCCGAATCTTTCTAATAGACTTCGTATTCGTCTACTGCACACAGCTGAGGCGATAGGCATTCGAACCATTAAACCTAAACTATGCATTCAAAATAAGTTCGTGCAGCCATTATCCCTCCCATGGCCTAATAAGACATAACCAACGAAAGACTTCTACCCCACCCTTTATTTATATTTCCAACCCCTTTCTTATCATCCCTTAATCTTATCTTATATTCATTATAAACGTGTTTCATTTCCTTCCCCTACAATCTAACATTACGTAATCGGTTCATTTGTTTTTACTAGCCTTTATCGACTACTTCCACCTGAACAATTGTTTGTTTAATCATACTGTTTTTCATCAGTATTCGTGTTATCACAGATTGCCTCATTTTTTCATCCTTATTATTGATAAGACCATTATTATTATTATTATTATTATTACTATTATTAATATTATCATTACTACTATTATGACTAATTGCACAATTTATATTCACCATCGTATTATCCTATAGACAAAACACCATGATTGGTTTATATTTGAATTTTTATTTGTAAACTTATGTATATTAGAGTTAAGTCTGATGAGATCTAATTGAAAACAATATTGTTCGCTTAAATGTGTTGTTCTAAATTATATATCACACGACTTTGAAACTTGATTTTTATAGTTTTCTTTGTCCTCTTTTATTTGTCGTCGTAGGGGTAGTACACTTTTTCAATATCTGGCCGGACAGGTGTCGAATCATTCCTATTACACGTGTTGATGTGTAATTGATTCGATAAACGAAGCTTCTGTTATCAATCTCTCTCTCTCCATTCACCCTGTCATCCTACCCCATCCTATTGTACGGTTGTGTGTAACTGCATGTGGTGTATTGCTATGGCTGAAATACTCTCTAGATTTCTTATCTTATTCGGATCAACCAATCTAGATTTCGCTGCTAGGATTTTATGTTCGGTAAGTCTGACTCACTGCCCCTGTTCTACTAGTTTGACCTATGTATTTGACCTGATAATCATTACAGCAGGCAGGGTATTAGATAAACTGAATTGTTTTGTTCTAAAGGCTCCACAGAATCCTTTAACCGGCAAAGCTTGTTTCTAATTGAGTTTGTGGGGCGTTTGAATGTCTTTTATTCCTGCCTTGTTAAGAATTCTGCGTAAGGTCTCCGAGGTTCCTTCCTATATAGAATTACTACTGATGATTTAGATTCCTTATTGTTGGTGTCGTCATTATTATTATTATTATTATTATTATTTAGCCACTATCATTATTTTATTTTTACATTTCCCTACATATTTTCTGACTAATTTATCCGGGTAATCATTAAGTTTCAAGGCCTCTTTTATGTGTATCGCTTCCTTTCTTATATTTTCCCTGGTGCTACTTAGTTTTTGTGCTCTGTCACTTAAGCATTTCACCAATCCTATTTTTACTGACATAGAATGGGATGATCGGAGATCCAAATGTCTGTTTTAATGTGTGGGTTTCCATCTTCTTTCCTTTTTACGCTACAGTCCAACATTGGAAGTTCTCCTTCCTGACTTTCCAATTCATAAGTGAATTGAATCACCTCTACCACCTTCGAGCAGATGTGTTTGAAAATCTATGTACATCTTGTTTTCTTCCTAAGTACAGTGAATGTGTCATCTACATACCTCCACCATTCCTCCACACATATATTAAGATGGACGTTCATCACAGTGAAATCAATTTCAAAATCTTCGAGACTCAGCATAAAGAACTAAATTTCAACACCAATGTTAAGTCAGCCACTTCTCACTCTTTATGAGTGAGAAAGTTGGCGGTTAGAGACGATCAGTAGGAAGGCTTCGACTTAAGTTTCATCCTAGTTGGCACTCATCAGCAAAGCATATCTGCAACCTTGATTCAAATCCGCATCACCCAGTGCCGCAGTCATAGACGTTACCACTGAGTTATTCAGGCTATTTAAAATGCACCCAGAATGGTAATCACGTCGAAAACTTGACTGATAAAATTCAGTCTGCACCAAACAAAGGAGTAGACACATTACAGTGATAACTAACTAATGTCCAATCAAAAAGATATTTTTTACGGATTTACAAATTTCGACGAAATGACCCGTATCCACAAGATGTGTCTGGTAATTGCAGTTTGCGAATATCTGCTTCCCTGTTAGGCATAAATTTCTTAGGATATGCCGAGAAAACACTGGGCAGAAGCCCTTTTTTATGACCTTCCAATATACTTGCGCCTGCAAGTGCAGGTAAATTTATTAGCGCAGTTGGAGTTGATATCAGCCTGAGTAGGTATCCAGTTTGGATTCGCTTACAGAGCATGTGGTGCTGTACACAGTTACGACTGCTCGTTTCATTCTCGTGTCAATCATTTTTGAGGCCAAGTTAAACTTTAAGCACCACTAAATACCAATCAGTGAATGACCTCAAATGTTCCAATGAGGTTCATGCACGCGAATTCCAGGTTGTATAGCGCTTGATTTGTATCAAACGAAGTTACGCTTGAAGTTAGATGATGATAAGGTTTTTCAGTATTGCCTGGATTTGGGGTTGCTTTGGAAGGAGAGATATGTATCGCCTCATAGAAAATGGAGAGAATTACTTCATTGTTAGGCGGAGAAGGTATCGTCGTAAGCATAGGCGAAAATGTGTTACTGAAGAAGAAATACAACCGTGGTCGTGAGCGAGCCAACAATGTTTGGGTGATCGACTTATATGACACTTTCCTGCAGAAAGGATTCATGGAGAGAATACCAGACAGAAAGTCTACTGCCTTAATAGCTATTGTCACCAGACTTGTGAAACAGGGATCCATTGTACATACTGATAAATGTAGAGGTTATAACTCGCTGTCATCCCTGTTGGATATGTTCATCACAGAGTGAACCATTCTAGGGATTTTGTGGATCCAATTACATAGACACACACGAATTCTATAGAGGGATTTTGGGGAAGATTGAAAAATAGGATTAGGTCTATAAATGGATTTCATTTTTAGTCATTTGGATGAATATATGTAAAGAATGTGGTTTAACTTTTCTATTAACTCTCCTATGCTAAACTGGGAGATGTTTCTGTCACATGTTAAAGAAAGATGCCCTGTGTAACAGTTTTATGCCGTTTTTATGCTTTTTTTCCATAAATATACGTTTTCCTTAATCAAAATTCCCTCTTTCTTGTGATTGGTGGTGCTTAAAGTTTAACCTTGTTATTTTTGACTATTGGTTTTTGTAGGGATATAGTCTGATTGGTTGGAGGATTTCATTATGAGCTGACATCAGTTAGAGAATCATTGGAAAACCAGCCATAAGGAGTACTGGATAGGCAACTGTTTCGTCAGCCTAGTTTGAAACCTTTCATCAGTACTCACCCACCACAGAAGTTCAAATCAAGGACCTTCTGGTTACAAGGCAAGCGAGCTCGTAGACCATTTATTTATCAGCTACTGTAGCCCGATCCAACGGCCAACCCATGAATTCTATTTTCTGCAAAAATTCATGACATAGAGTGACCACATCACAATATCTTTTTCTTTGATGAGTTACTGCTTCACTTTCAACCTACTACACCCTCCTAGTGGGTGGGTTCTGCAGAAGAGTCTCGAACCAGGACGAAACGGCTGACCAGTACTCCCAGCTGGTTTTCCAATGATTCTCTAACTAATGTCATCTCATGATGAAATCCTACAACCAATCATTTTGGACAAAAATCATTTCCATATACAAAGAAAAACAACATATTTTAATCATTTTTCATATAAGTTGATATTTGATTAGTGGAATGTTCCCCCAATTAATTTCGTAGTCTAACTTTCATACCCAGCCGACGCGGTCGTAAATCTTACAGAATCATTGGTAATCTCAGAAAAAACGGAAGGTTGGATGTATTAGTATTATATCCTTTAATTCCTAGAGGGCTTCAGCCGCACATCTCCATTGCGTTCGGTTCTCTGCTAACGTTTTCACCTGGCTCCGAGTCTGCACACATGCTCTCACCTCTTCTGCACATGACCTCCTCCTCCATGTCACCCTTGCACTGACGACCAACTCGCTGCTTCCCTTTCAGGTTCCACTCGAGTAATGGCCTGTCTAGTGATGCAACTTGATGGTTTCCTCAGCGTATGGCCAATCCATCTCCATTTCTTTCTGCTTATTTGTTGCATAATCGGTTCCTGATTGGTTCGCTCCTAGGGACCCCTGTTGCTGATCTATTCTGACCGGCCATCTGATCTTGAGTAGTATTGAGCGAAGACAACTGTTAATGAAGGTCTTTAGTTTGTTTGAGGTGCACTTTATGACGCGCCAAGTCTCTGATCCGTATAGCAAGTAGCACTGACTTCACATTGGAGTTGAAAATCCACAACTTATTTTACATGCTGAGTGGTGCCGTTGATCTCCACACAGACTTGAGTGTAATGGAAGATTGTCTTGCTTCTTTGATTCTCGCTTTGATATTCTCGTCTGTTCCTTCCGCCTGTAGTTGAAACGATGCTTCCCAGATTCGGAGGTAAAGGAGGTTGTTTCTTTCAGATTCCTCCCATTTTTGCTGGCTGATTGTCGTCTGTTGTTGTTGTTGTTGCTGTTGCTGTTGGTCAGGAATCTTCATCACCCCTGTTTTGTCTATGTTCACCTGAAGTTCTATCTCCACTGGATGCTTCATCTGCCAACTTGTTGCTTTTCATTTGCATATCTTCCGGTGTTTGTGGGAAATCAGACATTTATCATCGGTGAATTACAGATCCTCCAAGTTTTTTGTGTGAATCCAGTAAAATCAATTACAAAGTTTGAAGTTGTATGCTCAATATGAAATGCAAGAAAAACTCGATTTTGAAGATGTCTAAGATTGGCAGACTGCCGATAATGTTGTAGGTATTGTTTGGAGGTTGGAATGAAAATCTTTATTGAGGTTAAACAGACGGACGATAAATGCGTCATTAACTCATTTCGCATTATGCTGTTGCTAATCTAGCTATCAAGTAGACCTCTGAGGTCAGTCAATAAAGTACCAGATTAGTTTTATTCAAAACTGCTAGTTCAAAATCCTTCCCTGACTCAAACTTTCAACCTTCTCAACTTTTAAATGAATTAAAATGACCATTAAAGCTTTTTTTCAAAAGAATGGTTACTGAACAAAGAATATGTTTTCCAATAACCTCAGGTTCTACAGTTATATGCATTCATAATAGTGAGTGAATTAATATCAATGGATCATAACAGTTCAATTTCATCAACATAAAACTGCATCGCAGTGAATATCATAGAAATTAGGAAAAGTTGATAATACAAATTCATGAATTTATATTCTCCACTGAAGGCTAGTCAGGGCAGTAGTAATGTCTGGAGTTGCTTCTTCTCCACACACAGTGTACTGGTTGTTTCAGATAAATCGCGATAGCCTCAGCCGTTTGCAGTATGAGGTACCAAGATGTTTTTGGCAATTTATTTGGTACTTGATAGATGACGATGGAGAAGGATTCTTCAATTCTAGCTGGCTTCGT